CGCCCACGATAAAAGTTGACTCTCCTATTCTCTAGAAGCTAGAGATCTCAGCAGTGTTTATTTATTTATTTTTTATTTTTTGAGATGGAGTCTTGCTCCCAGGCTAGAGTGCAGTGGCATGATCTAGGCTCTCTGCAACCTCCGCCTCCTGGTTTCAAGCAATTCTCCTGCCTCAGCCTCCCAAGTACCTGGGATTACAGGCGCTCCCCAACACACCTGGATAATTTTTTTGGAGTTTTTAATAAAGACAGGGTTTCACCATGTTGTCCAGGCTGGTTTCGAACTCCTGACCTCAAGTGATCCACCTGCCTCAGCCTCCAAAGTGCTAGGATTACAGGTGTGAGTCACCACGCCCGGGCCCTCAGCAGTATTTAAAGTCACAACCCTGGGTTCCTGCACCTATGGCCAAAACACATGTTCACAAAGGGGTCACTGCCAGCTGGGAGCCCTGGGGCGGTGTCCCTTGACCCTAGAGCCTTAAGGTAAAGCATGTAACCTTACTCAGGGGAGGGGAGGGAGGCGTGAAACCCAGGTTCCTGCCTTTGCCCTCTCCATCCTAGAGGCAACTCCCCGCCTGCAGCCCAGCCCCTCCCCTCTCCTGGAACAGTCCGTCGGAGGCAGGCAGTGGAGCCAGTGCTGCAGCCTGCTTATGCTACTGGGGCAGCTGGACAGTCCCAGTTTGGCCTCAGGGCTACAGACCTTCTTGGGCATTGAGAGTCCCCTGGGTCTCCTCGACTGCCAACCAGGAGCCCAAGACACCACAGAGGCCAACCCACGGCACCCGTGGACCCTCCTGGGTAGCCTGGTCTGAAGGCTGGGCACTGTGCCATTTCCTCCTCTGTGACATCTTTTTAAAACATTTTCATTATTTTTTTAGAGACAGGGTTTCTCTCTGTCTCCCAGGCTGGAGTGCAGTGGCACGATCATAGCTGTCTGCAGCTTCCACCTCCTAGGCTTAAGTGATCTCATGCCTCCGTCTCCCAAGGTGTTGGGATTACAGGCTTGAGCCACTGTGCCCAGGCCACCCCTGTGACTTCTGCCTCTCCCTCTCTTTTCATCCACTCCTCCTCTCCCTTGGAGGGCTTCACCCTCTGGAGCCTTCAGATTCTCCTCCAAAGGGGCTGGAGCCTTCCCCTGTTCCTGGTCTACTGGCTGGGGAGTCTGGAAGGATCCGCATACAGACGCCTCTCCACTTCCAGACCTGCAGAGATAAGAACTGATTTGCCTGTCCAAGAAAGCGGGCAGCTCTAGCAGCCACCATCAGATGGCGACAGGGGCTGCTTGTGACTAGCCAGTTCAGACTTCACCAGGGTTCCAAGGAGAGCAGTTTCTTTAGGGGGCTGCAGACTGCACCCCTTCCTGGCTGCTGGGTTCCACTGCCTGATTGGCATCCCCTGGCTCCAGCCACTTTGGGAGTTAGGAGCAGGACTGTGGGACCCCCCTCAAGCACCTCCCCACAACCTGCCTGTTCCAGGGCTAAGTTTCACCATCTGGCCCACCCCAGCTCCACTCTGTCCAGTCTCTGCTCACTCCCCTCCCTGCCACCCTAAGTTTTTAGGGTCACAATGTGTCCCCTTGGGGCCAACCAGTTATGGGACAGACAACCAGGGATGGTTGGGGGGTGGGGACAGAGCCAAGGTGGAGCCAGTGTTCTTTTTTTTTTTTTTTTTTGAGACGGAGTCTCACTCTGTCACCCTAGGCTGGAGTACAGTGGCGCGATCTCGGCTCACTGCAACCTCCGCCTTCCAGGTTCAAGCGATTCTCCTGCCTCAGCCTCCTGAGTAGCCGGGACTACAGGCGTGCTTGGGTTTGGGGCCTGCATGGAGCACTGGCATCGTGGACAGGAAACCTTGTGGGACGCTGAGGCTCCCAGGCCTCTGACTATGATCACCACACATCTGTCTACGGCTTCCTCTTCCTCTTCATCTTGACCACACTACACCCAGGACCAACCAGGAGAGCAGGTAACCAGTCATCGTGACCAGCTGGTGTGGACTATGTATGGCCTGGGGACCGCGGGACGTGCCAGGGCATGAGTTACTGAAGCTGCCTGAGCCTCTGGGGGCTGCAGGAGGGGTGGGGAAGCTCCTCCAGAGATGGGCAGGAGGGCAGGGCGTGGGCTGTCCCCAGGTAGCATCAGGTTCTTGCAGTTGGTCTCACCCAGTCTCCTGGGGAAAGAAAGGAAGCGAGATCTTCCTAGTCCCCAGTCTTTGTCCTTCCCTAATGCCCCTCCCCCTGCAAATCTCATTCAGACCTTGAGTACACAACTCAAAGTACACACAGCAAGAGCACCAAGCGGCAGCAGGTTCCCCCGAGAGGTCAGCCTCCCCCCCTTTCCATCCGGTGCTCAGCAGCTGTCAAGCTGTTCGTCCCAATGGGGGGCCACAGTCACGCCGCCCTGATCCCGCTTCTCAGCTCTGGGTGCCCAGCCTCTGGGCCGCCCTTGAGTGGCACCCATGGGGCTGAGGCCCTCCCAGCTTCAAGCTCAGGGGAGGAAGGAACAGAGTGGATGGGGAACAGCCAGGCTGCCCCAGCAGGAGGGTGGCTCTGAGACTGGGCTGCTTTCAAAAGGGAAGTTCTGCTGGGAAGTGCCGTAGCCCATCCACTCCGCAAATCTTTTCTTAGGATCCTGTGGTTCACAAGGCTCAATGCTGCTGCTGCAGGTCTTCCCAGAAAGCTCCCAACCCCACATCGCCACCAGCACCCCTCACTGGCCTCTGGGCATGTGTGTCCACACCAGGAAGAGACTCCAGAGCTGATCAGAAGTTTTGTGGCTGCTGTGGGACCACCCCCCACCCCCACCCCTGGGAAATGGGCCTCAGCCCTGTGGCCTCAGCTCATCCTCCCCCTGAGTCATGTTACCTGACGGCTATCGGGACATAGCCAGAATGTGCAACTCCCTGAATTCTCTCACGTTTTGTGGTTATTTTGCACCATTTTGTTTCTTCCTTTCGGTTTGTGGACAGGGTAGGGTGAGCAGGATGGGCGTGGCACGGTCTAAGGGATCCCCCGATCCCTTTCCTTTGCAGTAAGTCAGGTGTTTCTCTATGTGCCTAAGGAGAATTGCACCTCATCGATTATCTGTGAAGCACACTTCCTGTTGAATCCAATTTTCCTATTACCTTTCACCAAAAGTAGAGATGTATTCCCTCAGAAAAACTGACCTGAGGATGTTAACGAACACCGACATTTCAGTATTTGTATAATCATTATAATATTTATTCCCACAGAGAAGCTGTCATTATTGACGTTTTACAGAAGCCACAGGCTTTGCTCAAGGTCATTCAGTGGTAAGTGGACAAGCCACGCCAGAACTTAGCCTTCCGCTTCTCTCTCTGGCCTGGATGTTCAAGACTGCAGCAGCTCCTTTTTGGTCATGGTTAAACCAAAAAATAATTTTTGAGAAACTTTGCAATGATCAGGCCACAAAAACCACCGAATATGACGCATCTCCTGCATTTTTATGTTCGGCTCAACAGTGTCATGATCCAAAGTGTCTTGAATCTTTTTTTTTTTTTTTCGAGATGGAGTCTTGCTCTTCTTGCCCAGGCTAGAGGGCAATGGCACGATCTTGGCTCACTGCAACCTTTGCCTGCTGGGTTCAAGCAATTCTCCTGTCTCAGCCTCCCGAGTAGCTGGGATTGCAGGCGCCCACCACATTTTTGTATTTTTAGTAGAGACAGGGTTTCGCCATGTTGGCCAGGCTGGTCTCGAACTCCTGACCTCATGATCTGCCCGCCTCAGCCTCCCAAAGTGCTGGGATTACAGGAGTGAGCCACCGCGGCCGGCCCCAAAGTGTCTTGGATCTTAATGAGCTTTAGTTAATCTATGACTGCATCATCATGGAAATTTCCACAATGTCCCCCAGGCTCTGTCCTTGAATCTTCCAGCAGCAGAGCCCACAGGTCTCCTTGGCTTCCTGACACCTTCCTGGGCAAGGTGCTCCTGGGGCTGGAAGGAAGAGGATAGTGAAAAATTCCAAAAGGAGCAAGAAGGGCATTCTTGGGATCCCATAGCTGGCACAGGGCTCCGTGTGGGTGGACGCTCTGAGCTTAGGGACTGCAAGCTCCCAGGTGATGCATTACACATTAGGAGTGGCATTTCCTGTGCCCACCTGGTCATTCTGTGCAAGCTGGGGCACCTACTCAAGGCACGCGTGTGAGACTGTGTGAGTTTGCGAGTGTGACTGTGTGTGAATGTGTCAGTGTGTGTGTGAGAGTTTGTGTGTGAATGTATATGTGAGTGTATTTCAGTTGTATATGTGTGTAAATGCGTTGTGTGAATGTGAGTGTATGTGTTTCAATGTGTGTGAATGTACGTTTGTGTGTATCAGTGTGTGTGAATTTGTGTTTGTGTGTGTGAATGTGAGTTTGTGAATGTGTGTGGGTGAGAGGGCCTGTGTGTGTGTGTGTGTATATATGAGCGTGTGTGTGAGTGTATGTGTGTGTGTGAGTTTGTGAATGTGTTTGTGTGTGTGTGTGAATATGTGTGTGAGTGTGTGTTTATGTATGTGTATGTGAGTTTGTGAATGTGTGTGGGTGTGAGTGTATGTGTGAATGTATGTTTGTGTGAGTGTGTATGTGAGTGTGAGTGTGTGAGTGTGTGTGTTTAGAGTCTGAACTCCGTGTGGATCAGGAAAGAAAGGGGTCTTTACAGGCTCACTGAGTCCCTGCTCTGTGCCCAGCCCCGAGCTGGCTCCAATGGGGCTATATAGAAAGGAAGGCATGGCTGGAGGACCTCCGTGTCAAGTTGAATACATTTCCAAGACTAGGAACCATTCAGGGACTCTGGGGTCACGATGACAACTCCCCTTCCCTAAGCCTGGAAGCCCAGGCCTGGACCCCCAAGGGACTCAGGGAAGGGACTCAGGAAAGGGGAGTTCCCCCGGGCAGCCTCCTCGTGGGCACCACCGAGGGTGAGAGGAGCCGGCTCAGCGGGCCCCTCCCCCAGGGTTGCCCATCTTGACTACAAGGAAAGGAGGGAGGAGTTATTGGGCCTTCCACTAGAAGGAGACCCGGGGAGGTGAGAGTCGGGAATCAGTCCTGCGAGCTACGGAGTCACTACAGGGAGAGGTCTCATCACTAGAAATAGCCGAGGAACCTGCAACCTTAACCTGCGTTAAGGAGGACGCACCGTTCCCAGGGGAGGCTTAGCCGGGGCTCCCCAACTTCCTCCATTTTCTGGCCGGCTCCAGGAATAGAACCAAAAGAAGCTGAACAAGGAAGCAGTGCGGCACCAAGAAAAGCAGAAGTCAGGGCCTTGGAGTCGTGACTGTCCCCTCGGGTCCGGCTGGGACCTGGCGCTGCAAGTGCCGCCTGTGCTGGGGAAGGGACCATGTGGCTGCCTTGGGCTCTGCTGCTTCTCTGGGTCCCAGGTAAGAGGCTCCCTGCCCGGGAAAGTCTGCATCAGGGATGGAGGGTGCGAGGGGCAGGGCCGCAGGGCAGGTGTCACAGGAGACACCCCGAGTCTGGACTCGGTGCAGAACGCAGAACGGGTTGCGCTCTGTCCACCATGTAAGATGGACAGATGAAGGGCCACACCCCTGGGAGAGGAAGGAGCCAGAGCCTCTCCCCGCTCTGCACCCAGGTACCTTGGTTGAACCACAGTGGGGTGAGTGATAAGGGGTTGGTGCAGAAAAGGAACCTTTTAGGTTTTCAGTTGAATTCTTACAGGAAGAGGGGCGAGAGGCAGGATGGGTGGAGAGCGGCAGCCACTGACTGCGAGGCGCATGTGGGGAGGATGGGTGAGATGCCCGGCTCACTGGGTGCAGGGTGTGGAGGAGGGGGGTGTGGGGAGGGTAGGGGAGATGCCCAGCTCAACAGGTGCAGGGTGTGGAGGAGGGGGGTGTGGGGAGGGTGGCGGAGATGCCCGGCTCACCAGGTGCAGGGTGTGGAGGAGGGGCGGGGCAGTGGGGGAGGTAGGGTGGGAGTGGGGAGCGGGTCAATAGTCTCTGGAATGTGGAGATTTAACCAGGGCAGTCCAGCGGCTGGAGCCTGAGCAGAGGAAGTCTCGAGGCAGGCCTGGCTACGGTTAGCCCTTGCGTGGGCCTGAGAACCAGGGGTCAGTCCTCTCCAAGAAGGGCATATGGGACAGAGGGGACAGAAAAGGTGGTAGGGAGGGCAAGGAGGGAAAAGGCCGGGCAGAGAAGTGTGGGGTTGAGCCTTCCCTGTCCAAGCGCAGGGCTTCCTCCCGCAGAGTCACCCACTGTGCCTTCAGTCACATCCACTGCTCTTCTCAGACGGGTCCTGTGCAGACTCCTCAGGCCTACTTCTAGGATATTTTACATCTTTTTGGTTGCTTTCCTTACAGATCAGAGGTTTTCTGCAATTATATTTGCTAACTACTTGTCTGTGGGAAGGTTATTACTTTTGGTGTCTTGACTTGGAAACGGGTCATCCTCCCATGACTGGTGCTCCTTCGATTCTCTCGGGTGTTCTTCTGTTTCCATAGGATCGGTGTGCATGGGGAGTTTTCAGTTCCTGTCTGATACCTGTTTCTCTTTCTCCCATTGACTCATTGGCTGGTACAGCCAGAATGAGGCCCAGCGGACGCAGTGGTGGTGGCTGTCCCTGCCCTGTCGCTGACTCGGGGGAAAAGGACCAGAGCTTCTCATTAGTAGGAAGAAGGGATCCACTCACAACTATCCACAAAGCGTTTTCACTTTTATTTATTAAATTTTTTTTCTTTTTTGAGATGGAGTTTTGTTCTTATTGCCCAGGCTGGAGTGCAAGGGCACAATCTCGGCTCACTGCAAACTCCACCTCCCAGGTTCAAGTGATTCTCCTGCCTCAGCCTCCCGAGTAGCTGAGATTACAGGCATGCACCACCATGCCTGGCTAATTTTGTATTTTTAGTAGAGATGGGGTTACTCCATGTTGGTCAGGCTGGTCTCAAACTCCCGACCTCATGTGATCCACCCACCTTGGCCTCCCAAAGTGCTGGGATTGCAGGCATGAGCCACCAAGCCTGGCCAGCATTTTTATGTTTTGAGACAGGGTCTCCCACCATCACCCAAACTGGAGTGCAGTGGTGCAATCACGGTTCACTGTAGCCTCCAACTTCCAGGCTCAAGTGATCCTCCCACCTCAACCTCCCCAGTAGCTGAAACTACAGGTGTGTGCCACCACACCCAGCTGGATTCTTAATTTTTTTTAGGGACAGGGTCTTACCATGTTGCCCAGGCTGGCCTCCACCTCCTGGGATCAAGGGATCCTCCCACCTTGTCCTCCCAAACTGCTGGGATTACAGGCTTGAACAACCACACCTGGCTCCTACAAAACATTTTTTATTTTATTTTTATTTATTTATTTTTTTGGAGACAGAATCTCACTCTATCACCCAGTGCTGGAGTGCAGTGGCTTGATTTCTGCTCACTGCAACCTCCACCTCCCAGGTTCAAACAATTCTCCTGCCTCAGCCTCTTGAGTAGCTGGGATTATAGGCACCTGCCACCACTGCTGGCTAATTTTTTGTATTTTAGTAGAGACGGGGTTTCACCGTGTTGCCCAAGGTGGTCTGGAACTCCTGAGCTCAGTCAATCTGCCAGCCTTGGCCTCCCAAAGTGGTAGGATTATAGGCGTGAACCACTGCTCCAGGCCCCCACAAAATACCATTTTTATTATCTATAGAAATTATTATTATTTTTATCCTTTCAGCTATGAAGGAGGTGAATTACATTAGGAGATCTGGTCGGATGTTTGTCTTGATATATTATGCTGACTTCATGAAAAGAATCAGGGAGATCTCCCTGTTTCTGTGTTCTCTGCAAATGTTTAAATAAAACTGAAAGTATTTGTTCCTTGAAGTTTTGAAAGAACTAACTTGTAAAACTGTCTGAGTTTTGCTTCTTTTCTTTTGATGGAAGGGAAATAATTTCTTAATAACAGTCATAATAACGAGCTGGTCTTAATAACTAGCTGGGTACAGTGGCTCACCCCTGTAATCCCAGAATTTTGGGAGGTTGAGGTGGGAGGATAGCTTGAGCCCAGGAGTCTGAGACTGGCCTGGGCAATATAGCAAGACCCTGTCTCTTAAAAAAAAAAAAGTCTATTCTTGGCCTACACTGATAATTTATATTTTCCTAAAATATCATCAGTGTCGTCCAGATTTACAGACTTACTTGTAGAGAATTGCAAATTAAACTGTTATTTTTCTTTTGAATTTTGTGTCTGTGTCTTATTTATTTATTTATTGGTCTGGCTACCCACTAGTCCAATTAATTGTTTAAGGCCAGGCACATTGGCTCACGCCTGTTATCCCAACACTTTGGGAGACCAAGGTGGGTGGATCACTTGAGGTCAGGAGTTTGAGACCAGCCTGGCCAACATGGTGAAACCCCGTGTCTACTAAAAACACAAAATTAGCCAGGCATGGTAGCACCCACCCTGTAGTCCCAGCCACTCGGGAGGCTGAGACATGAGAGTCGCTTGAACCCAGGAGGCCAAGGTTGCAGTGAGCCGAGATCATACCACTGCCTCCAGCCTGGGTGACAAGAGTGAAACTCTGTCTCAAAAAAATAAAATAAAATAGTTAATCATTTACCCCTTACAAAAAAATCCATTTATTAATGTATACACTAACTCCACCGTTTTTCTGTTTCTTAATTCACTGATTTCTGTGAATTCACCAATTCGTGAAAGATGACCTGGTTCTTTCTGTGTTGTGTGTGTGTGTGTGTGTATTCCGTGTTGTGTATGTGCGTGTGTGTGTTCCTCTTCTGACCTCTTGAGTTGGACAGTTCAGTCATTTATCTGAGAGTTAATGGGTCAAGACTCTGTGATCTTAAAGGAAAACATTAAGACGACAGAGGAATATCCTGGTAGAGGACCCTGGCCCCAAGGTTGTCCCCAGTCTCCTGTTTATGATTGGAGGGGTTGGGGGTGGTGATTCGGGTTGGAGGAGAGAAAGCACACAAGCACAAGCGTGGGAGCACTGGGGATCCGTGTGGTTGTTCCAGGTAAGTGGGGAAGCAAACGGAGGGTTTTCTGACACTTCGCAATCTCTAAATTATAATGACACCTTCACAGATGGGGCAGAGCTTTGGGGAGATTGAGTGACAGTTTTTTATCCAAGATTTCGGCGGAAAGAAGTTAATCAGGAGAAAGAGAGAGAGAGAGAGCAAGAGAGAGAGAGAAGAGGGGAGAGAGACTAAATCCATAGGGAAGTCAGATACTGGAGGTAGGACGAGAGACAGGACTGGGTGCTGTGGGCAAAGGTGGTGGAGTCACTGAGGTCAGGAGAGAAGCCAAAACGTGGACAAAGAAAGATGACGATTCGCAGCCCAGGAGAGGCAGGGAATCGGGTCAGGACAGGGAGCAGGAACAGTATCTTGGGTGAAGGTGGGCTGGGAACTGACAGTATTTATTTATTTTTTGAGATAGGGTCTCACTCTGTCGCCCAGGCTGGAGTGCAGTGGTATGATCACAGCTCACTGCAACCGCCACCTCCTGGACTCAAGTGATCCTCCCACCTCAGCCTCCTGAGTAGCTGAGAATACAGGCACATGCCACCATGCCTGGCTAATTTTTTGTATTTTTGGTAGAGATAAGGGTCTCACCACATTGCCCAGGCTGGCCTCAAACGCCTAGGCTCAAGCAATCCTCCCACTTTGGCCTCCCAAAGTGCTAGGATTACAGGCATGAGCCACAGCACCTGGCCTATTTATTTATTGGAGTCAGGGTCTCACTCCGTCACCCAGGCTGACGTGCAGTGATGCGATCATAGCTCACTGCAGCCTCGACCTCCTGGGCTAAAGTGATCCTCCCACCTTAGCCTCCTGACTAGCTGAGACCACACATGTGCACTAGCACACCTGGCTAATTTTTGTATTTTTTTGTAGAGATGGGATCTCACCATGTTGCCCAGGCTCCATTTACTTATTAAGCACTTAATATATGTCAGTTTTAGTATTTGTTTTTCTAGAAAATCACATTCATCTAAGTTTATGAATTTTTTGTAGGGAATTTCTGCAAAATGATACCTTGACTCTTCATTCTTTCTTCATCTATAGTCATTTTCTCTTGTCAGTCTTATTTAGGCCAGCCCAAAGGTTATCTAGTTTTATTAGCTCAAGTCATGTGAAACTCTGTTGTCTTGGTCAAAAGGTTGAATATCAGCCATTTCATGTGATTCAACCTAATGTTATTTACCAGGCGTTTTACACCTGTGGTCTCATTTAAAACCCACAAAGGCCATATGAGTCAGGGACAATTGTCACCACTTTATAGGCGAGGTATCTGAAGCTCTGAGAGGTTAACTACCTTGCCCCGGAACACACAGCTGATACGTAATAGGGTAGAGATGTAAACGCAGATGGTTCTGAGGTTCTTTCTCTTTGTCCTGGCAATTGCCGCTGAGAGTCTCAGGAAACATCACACTTGTAGCAAGCTTAGAACGGCCTTCCCTGCAGGGGGATCTGTTCATCCAGGCGAGGAGAGGTTTGGATGGGCCTCTGGGAGAGGCACCGAGGAGCTTGTCATCATCTTTGGGCAGCCGTGGGCTGGGTGTGGAGCCAATGGGGTCGAGGAGGAGCTTGCACTGAAGTTTTTAGAGAGGGCCTACCATGTGCGAGGCACCTGTAGACATTGAAGGTATGAGAAGGAGACCCCTACCCACCTGGGGCTTTCATTAGCGTGGTCTCAAAGTCTCATGTGTGTGGAGATTTAAGCATTTGAAACAGTAAGTAAAATTAAAGAGTTTTGGCCAGGCGCAGTAGCTCATGCCTGTAATCCCAGCATTTTGGGAAGCCAAGATGGGCAGATCACCTGAGGTCAGGAGTTCGAGACCAGCCTGGCCAACATGAAGCCCCATCTCTACTAAAAACACAAAAATTATCTGGGTGTGGTGGACGCCTATAATCCTAACGACTCAGCAGGCTGAGGCAGGAGAATCACTTGAACCCAGGAGGCGGAGGTTGCAGTGAGCTGAGATCCCGCCACTTCACTCCAGCCTGGGCAACAGAGCAAAACTCCACCTCAAAAAAAAAGTTCTAACCCGAGGAAAGGAGAGCAAGCCCTCCTCCCGCCATCCCTGGCCAATATGGGGCCACAGAATTACAAGGGCAGTGAGACACTGCACACATAACTGCCCAGCGGGCACATGCCCATCTGCCCTGGGCAGGGGCCATGTGTCCTCTGCTTGGTGGCCGACACTAGCTTCGAGCCATCACCTTACTCTCCCCGCTTTGCATCTGAGAATTATTTGGGAAAATGGTAGACATAATTTTCAAGGAAGCTTATTTATTTCTGAGATTTAAGTCTAGGAGAGCTGGGCAAACTAAGACACAGGATGAACTGAAGTTTTTGTCAGTGAGCCTTCTGCGTTTGTGACTTGAGAGAGGGAGTCTCTGCTCTGTCACTCAGGCTGGAGTGCAGTGGTGCGATCTCAGCTCAATGTAACCTCTGCCTCCGGGATTGAAGAGATTCTCGTGCCTCAGCCTTCCCAGTAGCTGCAATTACAGGTGTGTGCCACCACACCCAGCTAAATTTTGTATTGTTAGTAGAGACGGGTTTCAGCATGTTGGCCAGGCTGGTTTCGAACTCCTGGCCTCAAGTGATCCACCCACCTTTGCCTACCGAAGTGCTGGGATTACAGGCGCGACCCACTGTACCCAGCCAGTATTCTTGTCAAAATGGCTTGACAACCCCATTACTACCCGGGTTTGCCCCCCTGGTGGGACCAGATCAGTATGAGGGCTGATCTTCCTCTTGCTAGAGCACCCAGGGCTGGGGTGGCCCTCCCGGGAGGGCAGGTGCTGAGGGACGAGTTCTCACGGTCCTGGCAGGTTTGGAAGCAGGAGGCCCCCAGTGGGTGAGAGGATTGGGAAGGGTAAGGGAAAGGAGGCAGGGGCTGGAGAAAGAGGCTGCTATGAGCAAAATCTTGGGGGTGGCAGAGCAGAAAAGAGAATGCTCAAGGTGTAAATCTGGCTGATGGAGCTGATATGGGTGAAGGAGTCAGGGGCTGAGGGCTGGGGGTGCTGATGTGCAGTCGGGGAATCTTTGGAGGAGGTGACCCCAGGGCGCCCAGCCTGAGCTCTTCCAGTCTCCATGGAAAGCCTCTGCCCCATTTCCACCTGTGCACGGAGGGAGCCTCTCAGTCCCCGCTTCTGGGTGGACAAGGTCTGTCTGCCTGCCACTACCTCCTCCACACCCCCAGGGTCCATGCGGCCCTGACCCCAGGGCACCCTTGACCAGGCTCATCTGAGGAAGAGCCAGGACCCGGGCTTGTGTTTTTCAGGCTGTTTTGCTCTGAGAGGCCCCAGCACCGTGGACGGCCCCGTGGGGGGATCCCTGAGCGTGCAGTGTTGGTATGAGGAGGAACACAAGACTCTCAACAAATACTGGTGCAGACCACCACGGGTTCTCCGATGTGCCAAGATTGTGGAGACTGAAGGGCCAGCAGGAAAAATGAACGGCCGAGTGTCCATCATGGACTGTCCTCAAAACCTCAGCTTCACAGTGACCTTGGAGAACCTCACAGAGGAGGACGCAGGCACATACTGGTGTGGGGTGGATACACCGTGGCTCCAAGACCTTCATGATCCCTATGTCCAGGTTGAGGTGTCCGTGTTCCCAGGTGAGCCCCTCCTTCCCTCAGCCCCTAAATAGGCTCAGGTTGGAATTGTTGGGGCAGGAATCAGATCAGAGACATGAAGCCGACTATGTGTGTGGGGTGTGTGTGTGTGTATGTGTGTGTGTGTAAGAGAGAGAGAGGTGGGGCCAGGGGAACACAGTCAGGGCGTCTCTCCTGGAGCAGCCGACATGTCTGCCCGGTATTGAAGAAGGGGAGGGTCCGGTGACAGGGGGGCTGAGAGAGCGTTGCCTGTGAAGGAGCCAGGAGCGCACCTGTGGCTCAGCCCCACGGAAGTGCAGCTGCGTGGGGGAAGGGTGGGGCTGCACAGAGAGGCTGGGGGCCAGATGGGAAGCTGCTGCCCTCAGGGGGAGCCTTAGCACAAGACAGGTCAGATTTGCAGTGTAGACAGACTCCTCTGCAGCAGGGAGGCCTGCAGGAGACCTGGACCCTCATCAGCAGGATGGAAAATCAGGACCATTGGGAGTGGCACCTGCGTCCTGTTCAGAAATGCCCAGTTGGCCCAGGAGGGTCCTGGAGAGACTGTGGCCCCGGGGTCCTGCATCCTGCCCCCTTCCTGAGTGGATATTTTATGTGAAATCAAACCAAAAAGGCATCCTGAGGGTGGGAGAGCTGGAGGACGGCTCCCTGGGTCTGATAATGTGGTTTTGCCACCAGCATCAACGTCAATGACACCTACAAGCATCACTGCAGCCAAGACTTCAACAATCACAACTGTGTTTCCACCTGTATCATCTACTTCCCTGTTTGCAATGAGTGCCACCCACAGTACCAGCAACTGGAAGGAAAATGAGGAGGTCGTGAGCTCACAGTAAGCACCCTAGCCCCTGAGACATGGAGGGGGCCCTGTGCGGGGAGGAGCCCAGGGCGGGGACCTCGGCCATGTGGGTCAGCAATAGGTGTGCATCACTCCCTTTGCCCCAGGCCCAGGTTGGAAGCCACAGTCTGTACACCCCAGCTTGGACCTGCCCTTGGCTTTGGACGGGGGCTCAGGTCGGGGAGAAGTCAGGGGGCAGATGGAAGGACACTGATAGTTACTGAGGGCTGGTGACATCCTACGAGGCCCGTGTTAGATGCTTCACATGAGTGCTCTCGTTTGCCCTTCACTGCAGCCCTGTACTGTTGTCATTCCCAATATTAGTCTGTTTTCACACTGTTGATAAAGACATACCTGAGATTGGATAAATTATAAAGAGGAAGAGGTTTAATGGACTCACAGTTCCACATGGCTGAGGAGGCCTCACAATCAAGGCGGAAAGCAAAAGGCATGTCTTACGTGGCAGCAGGCGAGACAGAGAATGAGAACCAAGCAAAAGGGGTCTCCTCTTATAAAACCATCAGATCTCGTGAGACTTATTCACTACCACGAGAAAAGTGTGGGGCAAACCACCCCCATGATTCAATTATCTCCCACTGGGTCCCTCCCACAACACATGGGAATTATATGGGAGCTACAATTCAAGACGAGATTTGGGCGGGGACACAGCCAACCCACATCAATCCCCATTTTACAGATGAGTAAACAGAGACTCAGAGAGGTTAAGCAATTTGTCCAGTCAAGTACCTACAAGAGGCTAAGGCTAAGCTTCCAATTCTGGTTTATGTGACTCCAAAGCCTTGAGTTCTCCTCTCTAAATAGTGGTTCTTAACCTTTTTGGGGGTCACCAACCCCACACAGAATCTGACATCTATGGACACTCTCCTCAGAAAAACATGTGCAGTCACAAACCGTTTCTGGGATTCATGGACTCCCTATTCCAGCACAAAACCCCACAATTCAATCCTGGTGCTAGCCACTCAGAGTTAGTGCAGACCCCACAGGTGAAGAGCTTCCATATCCACAAGACCACCCTGATTTAGATGCCAGTTGAACTTTGGGGATCCCTAGACCACCACACTTCTGACCAACTGGCTGCAAATTTGGGGGTTCCCAGGACCCCCTCAGGTTCAATAATTTGTTAGACTCAGAACTCTGGAAAGTATTATACTTACAGTTTTATCATAAAGGATAAAGGATAAAGATTAGGACCAGCCAATGTAGAGACACATAAGACAAGGCTTGGGAGGATCCCAAACAGTTTCTGTGCCCTCTCCAGCTAAAATCAGGGAGCATCACCTGCACCCTCCCCCATGCACCTCAATATATTTATCAACCAGGAAGCTCCTCCAAGCTTTGGTGTCCAGAGTTTTTATTGGGGTTTCATTACATAGGTATGATGTGATTGAACTGTCTCCACCTCCAATCCCTCTTTGGGAGGTTGGGCCGGCTCAGGGCTCCAAGTCTCTAATTACGTAGTTGGTCTTTCTGGTGACCAGCCCCATCCTATTGTCTCGTCTCTTCCCAAAGTCCAGGTGTGATTCATGAACAACAAAGACACTCCTAATTCTTGGGAAATTCCAAGGATTTAAAGCCTCCCTCCTAAGAGCTGGGGACGAAGGCCAGCCAGATTCTTTACTAGACCCCTCTACAGACTTCTGCCAACATATAAGACAAGGCAGAGTTCAGGCTTGAACCTGCCTCTTCCAGAAGCTTACCCTTTAGATACACATAGGTGGCAGCGCTGGGTTCTGTGGGGCCTGAAGGTTGTGCAGTTTGCGGGGTGGGTTAGTGGGTGGGAAATCTAAGAAAAATATGACAAAATTATGAATGCAAACGTAGGCATGAAAGAAGGGGCCCAAGCAATGGAGGGGCCTGAAGCTGGGCTGCATCAGCCTCCTGGTCAATCTGCTGCTGCATGGTCAGGTGTGAAAAGGTGGAGCTGCAAGGCAATTTATAAGCAACGTTTACCATTGCAAAGGACTGGGGGAAATGCCCATTCAGAGGGAACGTTTAAATAAATCACAGTCTATACATGTGTTGGAATACCCTGTAGCTATAGGAAAGAGTGAGGGACTTCTTTATACACTGACGTGGAAAGACCTCTAAGATGTGTTGTAAAGTAAAACCAGAATAGTGTTAGAGGAGGCCTCCTTTGTGTGAAAAGAGAAGGGAAATCCCGTACATTCGTATTTGCTTGTATACACATAAAGAAACTCTGGAAGGGTCTTAAGAACAGCATGTGTGTGTATGTGGGGAAATTGGGGAATGTGTAAATGGGGGGTGTGTAGAAAGGAGGCTTTATACTGTCTATCTTTTTTTAATTGACCGTATCTATCTACTTAAAAAGTTAGAGAAGGAGACCAGGTATGTTGGCTCATGCCTGTCATCCCAGCACTTTGGGAAGTTGAGGCAGGAGGGTGGCTTGACCCCAGGAGTCTGAGACCATACTGGGCAATATAGCAAGACTACGTCTCTACAGAAAATTTAAAAATTAGCCGTGGTGGCCTGTGCCTGTAGACCCAGCTACTCAGGAGGCTGAGGCAGGAGGATCATTTGAGCCCAGGGGTTCAAGGCCACAGTGAGCCATGATCACCACTGCACTCCAGCCTCCTTTGGGTAACAGAACCAGATCCTGTCTCAAAAATAAATAAATAAAAATAAAAAAATAAATTGGAGAAGTCAAGTTCACCCCACCCTCACCACCCTGTGCCTCCTCCAGGCTCCCGCTGCTCCTCTCCCTGTTGGCATTGTTGCTGCTTCTGTTGATGGGGGCCTCCCTGCTAGCCTGGAGGATGTTTTGGAAACGGATCAAAGGTGAGTTGGCTCCCCACACCCCTCTGCCCCACCTGGGGTGGTCAGGCCTTGACCACAGACACTCATTTTCAAAGCTATGTCCTCGTCTCACAGTATTGCTATCAAATGCGACACCCAGACCGCACACCCTGGGTGATCCTACAGGGCAGGTCCCAGAGGAAGCATCCTTGTGCGTGGTGGTTACAGGCTGTGGGAGGTGGCTCCCTAGCAGGAGGCATTCCCATTGCCAGCCCAAGGGTGGTTGGCCCATGAAGCAATGATCCTCTTCTGTTTAAAACCCTGGCATGGTGACCTGGGTGCAGTGATGTGCATCTGTAGTTCCAGCTACTCAGGAGGCTGAAATGGGAGGATTGCTTGAGCCCAGGAATTCAAGACCAGTCTGTGTAACACAACAAGACCCCTGTGTCTATACAATAAAATAAACCCTTGCATGATCTCCCCCACCAAAAAAGTCCAGGTCTCTCCAGGAGTCATGGCCCTCCGCGATCTGGCCCTACCCACCTCCCTCTCCCCATCAGTGCACCCTGGAAACCAACTTCTTGTATCTCCTTTAATAACAGCCTCAACCTCAGCCTCTCCTCTCCTTCTGGGTTTACTCTGGACACGTGGAGGGCCTCCCCTGCCCTCTCTCCCCAGCTCACTCCCAGTGGACTCACAGTGGTCCTCAGACTTTCTTTTCTCTGGGACCTTTTCTTTGACTCCAAAGAGTGACTTGGGACCCCTCCTGGCTATACCTCTGCTGTCACAGCCTTTTGGAAACCAGACTGTCATTGTTGGCGTCCTCTCCTGTCTTCCCACAGGCATGTGCTTCAAGGAGGTACAGAACCCATATTCATCAAATTAATGTGTTACTCAATATCTCCAGCCACAATGGGCACCCCAGGGGGCTCCAGGCAACCTCTAGTCCAGCTGCCCTCCTCTGAGCTCAGATTAAAAGAGAGAACAGAAACTCTTGGCACTCAGTAAGTAGGTGCTCAATAAATACCTGATAGGCGAATTGAATAAGCACAGGAACAGAGGAACAAGTGGAGGCGTGGCCACCAGTCCTCTAGGAGAGCAGATTCCTGGCCGAGGTCAAATGTAAGCCTGAAACTTCCTCCCTGTTTGGAGAGTTCAGGATTCCATGGGCAGAAGATTCTCGGGGGAATCTTTGTCCAAAGCCTTTCAAGGCTACAGTGAGACTGGGGTGGGAAAAGATGGGGTTATCCTGTCCCACTCATAGCTGCAGGATAGGTAGGTGCATACTTGGTGGGGGCACTGCTCACACGCACCCCCAGTGCCTCCCGTGGGACCCAGGCTTTTGGGGGAGAAATCAGCTATAGTAGATCTGTACAGGGTGTATAGGAAGAAAATCACTTCCTCTTTCCCGTCTGCTTCGCTTGTGTCATTTTCTGGCAACCCCAGTCTAAACTTCAGCACTCACGTGGACGCCACTGGGTTGTTTGAGTTCTGAGTCCCTTTCGGTTTCCTTTGTGCCCTTTCACCCAGAAAGGCTCTCACTCCTCCCTTAAGAAGGATATATGTGATTATTGTAGGAAATTTGAAAAATGAGTAAAAGCACAAAGAAGGAAATAAATCCCCCATCATCAATGATAACTAAAAACCCCACCACCTAGAGAAAACCAGGCACTGGCACCTGAGGTATGTCCTTCCAGTCTTTTTTTCTATGCCTTTATAAATTCATCTATGATTTTTTGTTTTCTTTTTCTCTTTTTTTTAATTTTGAGACAGAGTCTCACTCAACAAACTCTTGAGTTCCTACCATGCTTCAGGCCTGAAGGGATAGGTCCCCAGGGCTGAGGTCTCTAGGGAAAGGCCTTTTCCCAGAAGGCTTGTAGGACCTTCCATCCTGGCCCTTGCTCCAGGATTCAACCTCCTTCCTGTCCTCTTATCTCTAGCTGGTGAGCATTCGGAGCTGTCCCAGAACCCCAAGCAGGTAAGGGGGCTTCAGCAGGAGGTGTATCAGGTGTCTGGGTGGAGGGTACAGAGGATGCTGGGGAGTTGGACAGTCCCATCGGCCAATGGAGGATGGATGGTGGATGCATGGAGTGGGGAGCTCGCCCAGAGCAGGACGAACGATGCTGGGAGATGTGGTCACTGGGTCTTGTTCTGAGTCCTGGCCAGCCTGTCCCCTCCCAAACGGGGCAAATGGAATGAAGGGAGGCCCTCCCAGCGGAGCTGACCTGGGGAACATTCAACTACTGGATGGAGTGGGGTGGAGGCAGGAAGGGGAAGTGGGGGCTGAGGCACTCAGAGCATAGAGGAGGGGGAGACACGTGCAGAGATGCAGGAACAGAGGCTGCAGAGCTCCGTGGACACCCACCTGGGACCTCCCGCCCACCCAGGCTGCCGAGCAGAGTGAGCTGCACTACGCGAATCTGGAGCTACTGTCGTGGCCTCTGCAGGAAGAGCCAGCACCACCAAGAGAGGTGCAGGTGGAATACAGCACCGTGGTAAGTGCAGGAGCCCGGCTTCTGGGCATGCGGCCCCTGGGCTGTGCCAGGGCACCCCTAGGGGAGTGGGCAGAAGGGGAAGGAAGGGGTGAGCTTGGTGATCTTGTGCCTGTCAGGGATGGGGACACACGGAGATGGAACAAGTGTTGATTTTGCCAGAGTAGAGGTCCTTAGAAGGGCTTGGTGTCATTGCGGCTGGGCAGTTAGGAGGGTGGCCAGCAGCTATGGCTCTGAGAGTCCGTGAAGTCCAGCATGGGTTAAGCACCTGCTGTGTATCATGCACCAAGGTGAGAAACTGAGACTTCTCACTGTTTTGGTCTCATCATCTCTTTGGCATCAACTCTGCTTTCCAGGTTTTTGTCTGTGACCCGCTGTGGGTCAACCCTTGGGCGCAGCCACCTTCAACTGGAATAACAGGATGGGGGCTGCCTCCCTGGGTCATGACTCACCTACTAGTGGGAGAGTTCAAGCAGAAGCTGCGGGTCACTTGGCAGAGAGGATCGGGAGAGATGTAAGCATCAGACAGGGATGCGTAAAGAATCCCCCAGGCCTGGGAGCTGAAGGGGCCCCTCAGACATGCTGTGTGGTGCCATGGAGGGCTGGCACCAGGGTGACAGGGGACACTGTTGCTGGTCTGCCTAGAAAAGTGGCCCAACTCCCTGGGATATCTCCAGCCTGGTACCATTCTCCCCAGGCCGCCGTTTTGCACTGGACAGGGGAAGAGGGGATCCAGTCCTGCAACTTCTGGGTCCTCTGATAGCCACACCCCTCCCCAACCTCCCGCCACCTGTCAGAATGAGGATAAGGATGGTCTGGGGACCCAGGGTCCTGGATGGCTCCTGGCCAACTTTCTTTCTTTCTTTTTTTTTTTTTAAGGCAGAATCTTGCTGTGTCCCCCAGGCTAGAATGCAGTGGCACAGTCTTGGCTCACTGCAGTCTCTGCCTCCCAGGTTCAAGCAATTCTCTTGCCTCAGCCTCAGCCTCCAGAGTAGCTGGGACTACAGGCACATGCCGTTGCACTGGCCGATTTTTGTATTTTTAGTAGAGACAGGGTTTCACCATGTTGGCCAGGCTGGTCGTAGACTCCTGACCTCAAGTGATCCGCCTGCCCTGGGCTGGTCTCAGACTCCTGACCTCAAGTGATCCACCCGCCCTGGCTTCCTAAAGTGCTGGGATTACAGGATTGAGACACCACACTCGGCTAGCTCCTGGCCAAGTTTCTGAGCGCCCCTGCGATGGTCAAGCCTGACTCCTTCCTTGCGTGACATGATCTTGTGTCCACAAAGCTGCATGGCCTGGAACCAGCAACATCTTGTTGTTCTAACTTGTTGTCCCATGATCTAAAGTGGATGGGGCATGGTCTTACTCTTCTCCCAGCCCCCATGGTACAAGTTGGGACTCATGCCCACAGCACAGCAAGTTAATCAGAGCTGCAGGGCCAATGTGGTACCCCTGTACTGGCTTCACCTCTACCTAGAGAACTAGGGGTCCTCTGCAGAAAGGGACCCCAGAAAGGGACCCATGGCTGCTTCATTGTGAGAACTTTTCTGTTCTGTTCTGTTCTTTTCTTTTTTTTTTTTTTTTTTTTTTTTTGATACAGAGTCTTACTCTGTCACCAGGCTGGAGTGCAGTGGTCCAATCTTGGCTATTGCAACCTCTGCCTCTCCGGTTTAAGTGATTCTCCTGCCTCAGCCTCCCAAGTAGCACGGATTACAGGTGCCCACCACCACGCCCAGCTAATTTTTGTATTTTTAGTAGAGACTGGGTTTCACTATGTTGCCAGGCTGGTCTCAAACTCCTGACTTCAAGTGATCCACCCGCTTGGCCTCCCACAGTGCTGGGATTAGAGGCGTGAGCCACCGCGCCTGGCCGCAAGAATATTTCATTAAGAGAAGCACAGAGGTGTCTCAGGGGAGCCCAGCCAACTCTCAGGGCCTCAGTTTCTTCTCTGTAGAATGGACCAGGCTGGGTCAGCCCCAAGGAGTCCAGGGAGCCTCCTGCCTCTGATGCTGGGGATGTTGTGGTGTGGCTTGCGCAGGTGGGGAGGAGCAGCTGGGTGGACAGGATCATAAAGAGAAAGAGGCCAGGACAGTAGAGCCTCTGCAGTGAGGCCTCCCCAAGGCCCCTCAGGTGTGCTCCCTCCTCTGTCCTATGCTGGGGGTCCTTCCTTCCCCTGCTTCTCCCGAGCCTCTGGTTTCTCGGTTTCTCTCTGCAGGCCGCCCCCAGGGAAGAACTTCACTATGCCTCGGTGGTGTTTGATTCTAACACCAACAGGATAGCTGCTCAGAGGCCCCGGGAGAAGGAACCAGATTCACATTACAGTGTGATAAAGAAGACATAGGCCTTTGTCCTGCCTCACTGTCCGGAGGTCTCATGGCTCCCAGGAAGTCCAGGGATGGCTCCCTTATCCCTGGCCCACGTCCTCCTCAGCCTGCTCTCGACGACAGTGACCAACAGACAGGCAGCTGGGTTTCCCAGGCTGTCCCTCTGTTGCCATCAGCTCGACTGGCTTCCCTGAGGGCCAGCAGGGCTGGGGACTCCGGGGAGCAGCAGGAAGCACTCCCAGTCACCAGCACCTGTCGCCCCTTTCTCCTTTGCCCCTGCTTCATCCCGGCTCTGTGTGTGGAGGACAAAGATGCTTCGCGTGGCTCCAGGAAAAGATGTGGCTCACGTAGGTGGCACCTGCCAATAGCTTTGTCAATCACAGTCCCACAGGAATGTCTGGAATTGCTTGGGAGCTGGGGAGAACTGTCAAGAAGAGCCAAGAGAGTGCCAAAGTGGAGATCTATTCACATGGGGGCCATGGCGGGGGGACCCACTAAAGATCAAGATCAAAGATCCTCCCCACCTCACAGACAAGGAAACTGAGGCCAGAGGGAGGAGAGAATTGCTCATGGCTCCAGGACTGGTGGCAAGTTTCTCTGGACTCCTAGATTTATTTTTAATATGAGATATAAAAACAGTTTCAAATATCTTATTAAGGGAGAAGTAAAAAGTTATTTAAACAATGCCTGCTATGTGTCTGCAATCCTCTGCTCAAGAAAGCTCCCAGTAGGCCGGGTGCGGTGGCTCAAGCCTGTAATCCCAGCACTTTGGGAGGCCAAGACGGGCGGATCACGAGGTCAGGAGATCGAGACCATCCTGGCTAACACGGTGAAACCCCATCTCTACTAAAAAATACAAAAAACTAGCCAGGCGAGGTGGTGAGCGCCTGTAGTCCCAGATACTCGGGAGGCTGAGGCAGGAGAATGGCGTAAACCTGGGAGGCGGAGCTTGCAGTGAGCTGAGATCCGGCCACTGCACCCCAGCCTGGGTGACAGAGCAAGACTCAGTCTCAAAAAAAAAAAAAAAAAAAAAAAAAAAAAGAAAGCTCCCAGCTTTGATACCAGATGAGTGCAGAGAAGCCTTGTGGGTGCAGTGGGTTGGGGACATCCTGAGAGAAGTCCTCACTGAGTGGGAGAAGGTGGGTCACAGCTGCTTCTCACCATGATGTCTGTTTGTTTGCTTGTTTGTTTTTTGAGACGGGGCCTCGCTCTGTCCCCCAGCCTGGAGTGCAGTGGTACAATCACAGCTCACTGCAGCCTGGAACTCTTGGGCTCAAGTGATCCTCCTGTCTCAGCCTCCTGAGTAGCTGGGACTACAAACATGTGCCGCCATGCCTGACTTTTTTATTTTTTGTAAAGATGGGGTCTTGCCATGTTGCCCAGGCTGGTCTTGAACTCTTGGGCTCAAGCGATCCTTTTGCCTTGGCCTCCCTGAGTGCTGAGATTACAGCATGAGCCACCATGCCGGGCAGTTTCCATGCTGGAAAACACAGCAGTTTTCTTGTTGGGAGATTTGAAATTTGATGCAGAGTTGTCCAGGCTGTCTTGAGTCTGTGGCAGCTGCCAACAGCTTTATGTTTTTATTTTTTCATTTTAATTTTTCTTTTTTAGAGGCAGGGTCTCACTGTGTTGCTCAGCCTTGAACTCCTGGAGTTGTGCAACGTGGACTCCTGGATCTGAAAGGTGAGGCTGCCATGAAGCCTATAATGTGGGTTGGGGCTTAGACACGCACCCGGTACGGAGGGGAACTCAGAAATAGTTGTTGACTGCGCTTGAATTGAGCCCGGTCACCTTCCAGTCCCGACCTGCAGTAACCCTTCTTGGGGTCCTGTTTGCAGAGACAGAGTTCTGCAGGGTGGTTTAGAACACAAAGGCACGTGGCACCAGACTCACTCTAAGACTCAAGGCATTGTTTGAAGGACCCCTTCTCCTCAGTGGGAGTGAACTTCAATTCTCTGAAATAGTATTTTCTCTTTAATTCTGTCTGAATTTCTATCAATTAGAAGTAAGTCCTCTGTAAAATGCAAATGTCTAGGTTATCAGTTGGTTATCAATGCCAGCTGCTATAACAACCACGACCTCCACAATAAAACTGAGTGGAGTGGCCAGGGGAGGCTGGGACAGGAGGGTATTGCAGCCACAGCCACACATTGGCCCCAGCCCCCTGCCCCGTCAATCTCTAAGGCTTGGTGGAGGAATAAGTTCCCTGGTATAAACCACTTGCCTTTTGGAAGGTGGCAGCCCCTTGGGAGTCCTTCATAGTCCTCCTGCCAGAGAGTCTCAGTTGGTACCACCCCCATTCTCCAAGGAGGCCTCATAGCAGGAGGGAGTGGGCTGGCTCGAAGTAGTCTTCCAGAAGTCTTACTGGCCAACTCCCTTCCAGGAAGCTCTGCATACCAAAGGATACTGGGAAGGACCATCTTTGTCAAACCAGAGACAGGGTCTTCCTCTGTTGTCCAGGCTAGAGTGCAATGGCACAATTATGGCTCACTGCAGTTCTCCTGCCTCAGCTTCCTGAGTAGCTGGAACTACAGGCGTGCGCCACCACACCCAGCTAACTGTTTTGTAGAGACGGGGTTTCATCATGTGACCCAGGCTGCTCTTGAACTCCTGAGCTCTAGCAGTCCACCTACTTCAGCCTCCCAAAGTGCTGGGATTCTAGGCATGAGCTACCATGCCCTGGCCAAACTCAAAATTTACGGAGAATATACAGTGAAAAGTCAGTCCCTTTATTATTTCTGTCACCAGGAATCCAGAGATAAATAAGGTTAATAGTTTCTTATGTTTCTCCCCTGAGATAGTTAATCATCTTGCACATATATACATGTATATACAGCCTACATGTATATGCTCATCCCCATTCCCATATATGGGGATATCCTCCCCATTCCCACCATTCCTGCACAGTAGTATTTTCATGTCACAACCATCTTGGAGATTATTTTACCTTCTTCTGTAAATGCTGCAGAACATCCCATAACATTCCATTGTTTGTGCCATGACATATGCATGCCATTTTGCACATTTTCATAGAGAGCTGAAGGGTAAAGTTGGAGAAATTCAAAGTCTGTGCACTTGCAATTTTGATAGATATTGCCAAGTGTACAGCATCTTTAAATGGCAATCTTTGGCCGGGCATGGTGGCTCACACCTGTAATCCCAGCACTTTGGGAGGCCGAAGCAGGTGGGTCATTCGAGGTCAAGAGTTCGAGACCAGCCTGGCCAACATGGTGAAACCCCATCTCTACTAAAAACACAAAAATTAGCTGGGTACAGTGGCATGCACCTGTAATCTCAGGTACTCGGGAGGCTGAAGCAGGAGAATTGCTTGAACCTGTGAGGTGGAGGTAGTGGTGAGCCGAGATCATGCCATTGTACTCCAGCCTGGGCAACAGAGCAAGACTCCGTCTCAAAAAAAAAAAAAAAGAAAAAAGAAAAAAGAAAGAAAAAGAAAAAGAAAAAAATAGCAATCATTTTATTTATGTATTTATTTTTTGAGACAGATCTTGCTCTGTCACTCAAGCAGAGTACACTGACAGAGTGCAGTGGCTTGGATATGGCTCACTGTAGCCTCCACCTCCTAGACTCAAGCAATTCTCCCACCTCAGCCTCTGGAGCAGCTAGGACTACAGGCTCACGCCACCATGACTGGCTAACTTTGTTTATTTTTTTGTAGAGATGAGGTCTCACTAGGTTGCCTGTTTGGTCTTGAACTCCTGGGCTCAAGTGATCCTCCTGCCTCAGCCTCCCAAAGTGTGGGGATTACAGGTGTGAGCTACCAAGTCCAGCTTGAAATAGCAATCTTTAATTTCCACCTTACCATCCCTCTACACCCAAAACTGACATATTAATTTTTACCAAGTGTATTAGTCTGTTTTCACGCTGCTGATAAAGACATACCCAAGACTGGGCAATTTACAAAAGAAAGATGTTTAATTGGACTCATAGTTCCACATGGCTGGGGAGGCCTCACAATCATGGCAGAAGACAAGAAGGAGCAAGTCACATCTTACATCAATGGTGGCAGGCAAAGAGAGAGCTTCTGCAGAGAAACTTCCATTTTTAAAATCATGAGATCTCATGAGACCCATTCACTATCATAAGAACAGCAAGGGAAAGACCCGCCCCTGTGATTCAATCATCTCCCACCAGGTCCCTCCCACAACACATAGGAATTTTGAGCTATAAGATGAGATATGGGTGGGGACACAGAGCCAAACCATATCATTTCACCCCTGACCTCTCCCAAATCTCATATCTTCACATTTCAAAACCAATCATACCTTCCCAACAGTTGCCCAAAGCCTTAACTCATTTCAGTATTAACTCAAAAGTCCACAGTCCAACATCTCTTCTGAGACTAGGCAAGTCCCTTTCACCTATGAGCCTGTAAAATCAAAAGAAGTTTAGTTACTTCCTAGATACAATGGGGGTATAGGCATTAGGTAAATACAGCCATTCCAAATGGGATAAATTGGCCAAAACAAAGGGGCTACAGGTCCCGTGGAAGTCTAAAATCCAGCAGGGCAGTCAAATCTTAAATTTCCAAAATGATCTCCTTTGACTCCATGTCTCACATCCCGGTCACGTTGATGCAACAGGTGGGTTCCCATGGTCTTGGATGGCTCTGCCCCTGTGGCTTTTCAGGGTACAGCCTCCCTCCCAGCTGCTTTCACGGGCTAGCATTGAGTGTCTGCAGCTTTTCCAGGTGCACGGTGCAAGCTGTCAGTGGATTTACCATTCTGGGGTCTGGAGGACAGTGGCCCTCTACTCACAGCTCTACTAGGCAGTGCCTCAGTAAGGACTCTGTGTGGGAGCTCTAACCCCATGTTTCCCTTCCACACTGCCCTAGCAGAGGTTCTCCATGAGGGCCCTGCTGCTGCAGCAAGCTTCTGCCTGGACATCCAGGTGTTTCCATACATCCTCTGAAATCTAGGTGGAGGTTCCCAAACCCCAAATCTTGACTTCTGTGTACTTGTACTGTGTACTTTTTTTTTTTTTTTTTTGAGACAGAGTCTCACTCTGTTGCCCAGGCTGGAGTGCAGTGGCACGATCTTGGCTCACTGCAAGTTCCGCCTCCCAGGTTCACACCATTCTCCTGCCTCAGCCTCACAAGGAAGCTGCCACAAGGAAGCTGCCAAGGTTTGGGGCTGGCACCCTCTGAAGCCATGGCCCGAGCTCTACATTGGCCCCTTTCAGCCATGGCTGGAGTGGCTGGGATGCAGAGCACTAAGTCCCTAGGCTGCACAGAGCAGGGGAACCCTGGGCCTGGCCCACGAAACCACTTTTTCCTCCTGGGTCTCTGAGCCTGTGATGGGAGGGACTGCTGTGAAGACCTCTGACATGCCCTGGAGACATTTTCCCCATTGTCTTGGGGATTAACATTTGGCTCCTTGTTACTTACACAAATATCTGCAGCCAGCTTGAATTTCTCCTCAGAAAATGGGATTTTCTTTTCTATCACATTGTCAGGCTGCAAATTTTCTAAACTTTTATGCTCTGCTTCCCTTATAAAACCAAATGCCTTTAACAGCACCCAAGTCACCTCTTGAATGCTTTGCTGCTTAGAAATTTCTTCCGCCAGATACCCTAAATCATCTCTCTCAAGTTCAAAGCTCCATGAATCTCTAGGGCAGGGACAAAAGGCCACCAGTCTCTGCTAAAACATAACAACGGTCACCTTTAC